CAAATCACTCATCAGTCACCTGTATGTCTGTGTCTTCTCTGTCCAGCCTGATGATGTGCGGAGTCTTGGCCGTGATGTTTGAAAGTTACAAGGAGGCCCAGACCTTCCTGGAGGGAGCCGCCAGCTTGGACCCGCCCAGTGTGGTGGCCTGGACGCTGCTGGGTGAGATCAGAATATCTGTGTCCCTGCTCATATCTGTTTAAAGCATTACATCTACTAGCTACCAACATGCCTGCACTGGCTACCTCTGGCATACAGAATCATGTTTAGGGTTCTTTAGTTTGTTTGTAAAGCCATGCATGGGGTTTTTGTTCCAACATGACCTCCAGGGTTCTTATTGCTTCAGAACAGCTGCTTTTAACTGAACCATGATCAAGTCTTTGCAGCAGCAGGGTCAAAGCTTTGGTTCCTCCTCCAGTTTTCTAAGAAAAGACTTAGATGTTTCCAGCAGTGTTAAGTTGCTCTTAATGTTTTAACAGTTTGATTCCATGAATTTGACTGTTAAAATCTAGTTTCTCTACATATAGCAGAATCTGTACAATATTAACAGTACTTTTGTATATTTTGTGTTTCTACTGATGTTCCTACATTTTTGCATTCTCACCTTCGCTGCAAATTTCCTCGCTGTGGGATTTATAAAGTAAATAAATGAATAATTTATCTTCTGTCCTAGAGGTGCACCGGTTTAGGTGGTTGTATAAATATGTCTTTAAAAGCTGATCACTTTAAATGTATTGGTCAGGTTTCAGCTCATTGTTTTAGTATTAAAAATGCAGTTTTATGGGCTTTAAAAAAAAAGAAAGTAAAAGAAAACACCTGATAATGCTCCAAAATAAGTCAATAGTCAATATAAGATATTAGAAATCAATGCTATGAACTTTGAAAATCAGTGATGTCAACAATTAGCACCTTTATATGAGAAACATTCATCTAAACGCCTCAAAACAGTGAAGCAGGAGTTGATTTCAAGTTTCTTGGTTTGCTTCCAGGTTTGCTGCACAAGAGTCAAAACGAATCCATCCTGGCTGAGGCGGCTTTTCTGAAGGCGACAAGAATACTGAAGACAGACGAGGCAAAGAAGCAAACACAAAGAGAAGATAAGAAGAAAGACAAGGAGGAGGAAAATAAGGAAAATGAGCAGCAGAATGAGGAGGAGGCAGCTGCTCAGCCTCCCAAACAAGGTGAGGTTCAGCAGCAGGAAAAACACCCGCAGAAGAAGAGCACATAGCAAATATTTATACAGAGCACAGTCTCACATGTAGTCACAAGTTAATGCATTCTGTTGGCAAGAACCTCCTGAAAATACATCCTCTCTCATCTTTTCTGTCCATCTCTGGAGGCTCTCGCTGCACTTCGCTCTGCGTCCAGTGTCCCCGAGCAGCCGATGTTACCTGACAGCACTCTTGTGTTTTTCCTCCCAGACCCAGAGTTTGCTGACCAGGACTCAGAGGTGCACAAAGAGCCTCCAGCTCAGAGTTTTGACTCCAGAGCAGCTCCAGCCAAACTCCCCTCCGCCATTTACACTCAGACAGTCGGGTTCCTGCTGCACAACAATGCCCTGCAGGTAAAACCACACTCACACAGACAAGCGCTGGTGGTTCGCTGAACTGACCGGCCAGCTGGACAAATGTGAAGGAATGCAACCTGTAATGTTCGATGCTGCTGTAAATTTAGTGGTTCTATCATGATTTATTGCTATGAACAGCTGGGGAATGAAAGCTAGCTGTGGACAACTCGTGTTAAA